ATCGCTTTATCAGTGCTCTCTCCCAGGTAGACCAGAAGTGTCACATCAGCTTGATCGCTGGGTAGTCAGGGACTCAGTGATTGAACAACCGACCAGTGAAGCATCCGCAGATATGAGACTACTTCGGGTTCCAGCGGCAAATTAGTGCAAACTGTGCATCTTTGGCTGCAAAGGATTAGCCGAGTCGGGATTGAAAGCCTATGGAAATCTAGCAGCCGGCCCGAGCCTACTGTCTAAGGCGAGGGTTAGACAGTTCCCCAATAATGCGCCTGCTTCTATTGTGGGAGCTTTGGTTACGTACGCAAAAGCCACAGATCCTTTTAAAAAGAAAAACGCCTTTACAACGGGACTGGGCTCAGCGAAAGCAGGCAGCTTGGCGAGCAAAAAAACGCATCAGGGAAAGGGCGCAGTGTAGGGAGCTAGCGGATTAACCACCGTTTGAGACGGCTTGCGATATGCGGCTGGACACAAGGATTGGCAAAGCTACCGCACCTTCATATCACTTCATAGACAAATTAGGATTGTCGCCATGGTCAGTGACTTCAATGTTGGCACCATGCACCACAACCTTGGCCTAGGTATACCATGGTGGATCCAATGATGGGCACAAATGAATCCACTTCTGCGCACGGTGAAGGCTAGTGTGCCTGGAAGCCTTAGAAAAATGCAGCTGTTGGTTTCGTCAACAGCGTTCATTTTGTCTTATGATAGGCGTAATTGGATCGAGGCCTTAGCAAGGTGAGGCAGAGTCTCCGTGCGGGCCACCCAGCAGTGCAGGACGACAAGACGGTTCTGAGCATGCCTCCCGTTTCAGTGGCTCTGCAACTGGTTCGACATAAAAGTATGGTACTGAGATTCTGGGCAGATAATAACACGAAGAAGTCAATATTTAGGAGTTGGCGGACGTGCTAAATAATGATGAGCTGCCAGCAGGCTGGCCACTTGCTGGTCGTGCAGCGCACCGTATTGAGCTATTCTCCGGGTAGCCTCAGACAAGGTTCTGCGGTACCGGATGCTCCAACACAATAAAATGGGTTTGAATGTCAGGCGGGTGATTTGGTGAAATGGGCAAACTACAGGAGTCGGGCACCACCTTGAGGCAAAACCTAGTGTTGAGGTCGAAAAACGACGGGATGTGAAGCGTGTGCTTTAACTCTACACCCCTGAAAAAGATCACGTTGGAGCAGAGATTCCCAATGGCCCACATTCGCGAGCTATTTGATACACAATACGGGTAAATAGAGTCTTCGCAGCTTAAGTTTTACAGACGCCTTCCTACAATGGCCCATTAACTCTTCTAACAGGTACCGAACGAAGTCCCTCACGCACACCTCCACTGTTGAGTATAGTCGTACATCGTTTGGACTTGTCATCGCCTCAGCTGAACTGCAACGGCAAGTTGACAGAGGTTTTCAGTAAGCCTGTCAAATCGGGGTGGATGGCTGTCTACATGGACGACGTCTTAGGTTCCAGCCGAAACATTCGAGAGCACCAACTACACAGCACCTACGGTCTGCACGTCAGTTGTCTGTGGATGATGGTATCTGAAAGTATGCAGCTGCTCTTTCTTTAGATAATTAATTCGCATATATGGAATTCTGTGTGTTCGGCTGCAGAAATTGAGCCAGCTATGGAAAAAATCGCATTAAACAAAGTAGTGTGGCCTTTACTTTGTCATGCCTGCAAGGAACCTGTGGCGCTCTATGGCTTTGTACTCATTAGCGAAGTTACATTTCTCTACGTGTTCGGCTTATTGCTTCTTTGACTGACATACTCAAGAAGATGCAGGGTATGACGTAGACAGAGGGAGCTGATGCCGCAGCAAGGACGCTGCTTGGTGGCCTCACAACTAGTTCAGTGTTGTGCTGCCCCATCAAAAGCGTTATTTTATCCGGACACCGACTTTATAGCGAAGTGCAGTAAGGGCATCAACAACGTGGTCACCGATCCGTTCTGGCGACTCTCCACCGCTTCACTGTAGTGCAGTGCAACTCCCCTCGTCTGAGTTGCCTCACAGTCTGCATAAAAATTGCATGTATTCATGCTTTTGGCACCCATGCACCCGCCAACATTGCCGACCCCCTCAAATGGCAAAGGGGTAAAAGCCATACTACTTTGACGATATTTTGCTCGACTCAAGACAAATCCGGGGAGTTTCTTTTTCTTTCGATATTCCGACTTCACTTCACGGTGCAGTTGTGAGCTGTGAAATTCGCTCTTTAGGGCCATAGTAAGAATCACACTACTGTGAGAAAGCTCTCCCGGTCCTGTTGGTGGCCTGGAGTGCGTCCCATTGCGCAGGAGCGTGCCCCGTCCTGCCCAGATTGTCAGCTGGTGAAGCAACGCAATACTTATAAGTCCGACTTTTTGCAAAGCCTTCCGTTTTGAATAACTTGTGATATTCTGACTATAAGCTCTACTGTTAGACTGCCGGATGCCAAGGGTCAAGGTAGCATCTACGTCAATGTTGCCTGACTCAGCAAAATGCCTATTTTATGCCTTCTCCAGCTCTGTTGCGTCTCAGATTATCCCTAAGTACTCTTACACGCCTAATAGCTCCATGGGTTCTCACATACTATCTTTACGGATGGGTATTCGAAGTTAGATATAGTGGATCCTGGCGTGCCTTAGTGCCCCGCCTGCGCATTAATCATAACATGATCACTATGAGGCATGCTGAGGCAAACAAACACACCAAGACCACCAACCGCACCCTTCTGCAGTAGTTGCAGCTCAACGCAATCACAAAAGTAGGTGCTTGGCCTCAGCTTTTGCCACGTGCCGAGTGGCGTAATAATACATCACTACACTCGTCTTTCCGTTGATCTCCCTATAGTCTTCCTTACACTGAAGAGCCCCTTTCGGATCTGGGCACGGACCTAATAGTCCGGACTCATTGATTTCCCTAGTAGGCAGAGTGGTTCAGACAACATTCGGCTAGGCAACGCGCATGTTTGCGCAAAGCACAAGATAGCCAAGCACATAGCTATGATATGCAGCCGTCGGGTGTGCATTTTGAGCCCGGAGATTTGATCCTGTGGGTCGGCAGGCTTCAAGAGGGAAACCAAAAGACGATTATGTTTGCGCCCTGGTGGCGTAGACCTTTTACCATCTTCTTACGAATCAATGCAATTATAGTTCCATCACCTTTAAAAACTGAGAGCCACCGCATAGCTATCAATATCGGATTTCTTTAAAGCATCAAATCAATTGAATTATTGGCGAACTTTGCTGCGCAGCCAAGTGACCCGTGCGGAGGCGGATGAATCACAGAAGGGCGTAGAAGTGCTAAATTCTAGGACTAGTGAGCGCAAACGGCACAGTGGATGAGAGCTGATAGTGAAATAGAGATGGGACGTCAAGCTCAGTGGTTCGCGTACGGGCGCTTGTGGGCTTCGTTGCCTCTTGGAGAACTTGTGGCTTCATTTGGCTTACGATGCTGGTCGCAACCTCGCGTTTCTTGGTGAGTTTCTCTCCCCAGCTCATATGCTCTGCCTAAGACAATGCCTTCGTACATCGCCATTCCGCGAAAAGCTCCCAGTCTTCATTATACAGGGGTATACTACACTCAGAACTAAGCTTGGGTACTCTCAGATGTGTGGGCTCTACATCCTCTCTTTGCCTCTAATGAGGTTTTGGAGTCCACTCTGATGCAAACGCCAGTTGCATTTACATGCAGAGGCTGCCCTATAAGGCGCAGCACGACTTCTAGACTAGGGTGCATTTTGTTTCCCTTCACATATTTTATGTGACTTCTGTTGTGTTGTAGCAGGAGGCTAACGCACTTAAGGGCTCCGACGATGCGAGAAATCGCACCGCTGCGGCTTCGTTGGTCTGGTCGCTTGTACGTCTTTGGCTAGTGCGCACCTTTTTTTTCCGTCAATTTCCCTTTAGCGCTTGACACAGACTTTTGTTACTTGATTTGTATTGTTTTTGCATTTCTGCCCGCAGCGGCGTTACGGTGGTGCCAGTTTCGATGTTTTGCACGCACCCAACCTCGGCGTACAGATACTGAAAACGACACAGTGTTTCAAAATAGGGTTAGGAAGATGAAACGGGCTAGGCTGCACTTCGACATTTTCTGGCACACTAGTCAGGTTAACAGTGAATCAGTGGAGCCTTGATTGATTGGATGCTTGTTCGTGTATCCTATTTATTGCAGAGTGCTGTCAGCTTGATATAAGACGACGCACTTTTGTGTATGTGCACGCTACATGCTACATGCAACTAGTCGCCCTGTTCGATATGCCCAGAGAGGCGGCTAGGTGCAGCCTGGCTGTGCCACTACCCTCATGCGTGAACACCGAGGAGGGCACGTGAAAAAAATCAACTTGGTGCCTATCGATCGATGTTGCCTTGCGTCTGGAGTTACGTGTTTCCTACGGGCACTTTCGCTTGGCCATTACTGGTTACTTTTTTTTCCGAGCACCATGTCGCCAACCTACGCTGTGCTCCTCTAGGCAGTTCTACAAGATACTTGTTTGGGTCAAAGATCGCCGTCGGGTTGCAGGGAAGGCGCTGCTTCCTTCCTGCTTTGTTGCTGCCTACACTCTGAGGTGGTATTTAGGCTATGAGGGAACGAAGGCGAGACTGGAGGGCGAACCCTGGAGGTTTGCTGGCGAGCTCTTGCTATGAGAGAAGACATGTTTTGGCCATTGGCTGGAGCATCTCCACTGCCCTGTGGTGTGGTGACTCGTTGCAGCGGTTCCAGTCCTTCGTATGCGTGAAGCCTGAGACGCATGGGAAAATGCGGCTTCTTGTCGCGAGCATGGTTCTCGGCACCAATCCGAGTCCACAGTGCGTAAAAAGCGGCTTTTGTGATATTATTTTCCCCGCCGGAGGGCCCTCTCTCGGCCTCACTTCCCTTAGACGCTCCAAGTCTCGCTGCTGCCTCAGCCCCCACATTGTGGCTGCATGCGCGAAACAACAAGCCCTAATCTCCTGTGCCTGCGTGGGACCGTCGGTGCACCCCCCGAAGACTTCATTTTGGTGATTTTCTCATGAAGGATCTCGTCTGCGCTGCCCTGCCGCAGTGGCTGCATCAGGAAGCCTGTGCTGCTGTACGGACTGCGGCGTAGTGGCAGGCAGCTCCTCGGGGGTTCATGACGCCGACAGAGGAAGCCGCCCGCACGTCGCTGTTGCCATTGCATGCATTTATTTCTGCTGCGTTTAGTCTTGCAGGGGCTACTTCATTGCGGCGGGTTAGAAAGGCGTGCTGCCCGATACGCGGCTTTCGCTTCGGCGTCGTTATGCCTGCACTGTAAGGGTGCTCTCTCACTGCAGATATGCGGCTGCCCTTGGTGGCTCTTCTGCTGCCGACACTCTGATGCTTTGTAGCCGCAGTGGAAAAGACTGCAGCCGCGGCAACAGGGTTCTCCCTCCACCATGAGCACTAGCAGCAGCGGCAGCGGCAGCAACACCAGCGCTGCCATTCCTCCCGCTGCTGCTGTTTCTGCTTCTGACCATCAGCAGCAGGAGTGGGCAGTGGCGGCAGCAAGCCTCCCCGAACCCCCGAATCTCGGCTCTCCAGTTCTCTTTTCATTCCTAGGAGAAAACTACAGACAGCACGAATGGGTACGCTTGAAGAGCCACGGAAGCAAGGATTGGATTGCACAAATCATAGCCTTTGTGCCGCCTCAAAAAGATCATCTCACAGCGGCAGACCGCTCAGCGGCTGCTGCAGAAGCGGGGGGAAAGATCGTGTGCAGGTGGGCATGGGATCCTGTTGACTTGCGACAGGAGTGCTGCCCTGATCTTCCCCTCGACGTGTACAGCCAGTTCGAGCTGGTGCCGGCTCTGAACTTCTTCGATTTGAATCCGATCGCCTCGATCAAGGGCAAGGTGGTCGTAGAAACGCTGCAGCAATGGCTGCGCAGGCGTGCCTTCCCGCTGAACAGCAGCAGCAATAGCAGCGGCAAAAACGGCTCGCAAGACGAGTTGGAAGGAAAAGGAAGCGACGACGAAGAAGCTGTACCACTGGTGCTCTTCTACCGCCACGCGTTCGATGTAGACTGTGGCTTCGACCCGCAGATTCCCGCCGATACTTTTCGCTTCAAGCGCATCAAAACGCAGCAGCAAGAAGCCCCCTCGGGAACGGCTGCCTCGGAACTGCTGACCCCCTCCACAGCCTTCAGAAAGCGCTCAACAGCGCGAAATCCGGATGCTCGTCTCTTCTTCTGCATCAAATGCAAGCACACGTATGGGCCCCCAGATGACGTGGGGCCCCCCGCCTGGAAGCCAGGACCAGATCAGAGGCGCTTGCTGGAGCAGTACTTACAGCAAAAGCTGCTCCCCAGCAGCAGCAGCAGTGGAGAACGCGCGGTGTACGCGTTGCTACAGCGGGAAATAGAACAAGAGACCGCAGGAGGGGGGGGGGCAGGGGGCCCCCATAAGGGGGCGTCAGCTTCTTCCTGCGCAGAGGGGCCCATTCAGATGGACTCTCCAGACTGCTTACCCTATCTGTACAAAACGTATCCTTCCCAGGAGGACATATCCATTTGCTGCTGGCGTTGCACGCGGAGGGAACGCAAGCGCGAAGCGATTCAGGATGCCGCAGCAGCCTCTACGACGGCGGCTGCGAAGAGCGTGAAGGGCGGCTCCTCCAAGGCTGCTGTCACGGGGGTGTCTGAACACAAGCGGCATGTGAAGAGCACGGTGGCATGCAGCCAGCAGAAGCAGGCCGCTAGCGGCGTGGCGGCTAGCGGGCCCTGTGTGAAGCTCCCCAAAGAGGAGCAGCCGCAACAACATGTGCGACATGTGCAGCAACAGCAGCGGCAGCAGCAGCAGCAGCAGCAGCAGCAGCAGCAACATGCACAGCTGGAAGATGAGGAAGTGCCCGAGTCCACCGGGAGTGAGTACAGTTGTAGCAGCAGCAGCAGCAGCGTGGGCGAGGAAAGCGATCCTGAGTTTGATGCTGCAGAGTTGCGAGAGGAATACTTATCTCTTCATGATGTTGACAGAGAGGAGCTGTACCTGAAGGAGAGAGAGGCCCTCAAGCGGCGAGCTTCTGCGGCGCTGGCGACTGCAGCTGCCGCAGCCAGCAGCAGCGGCAGCAGCAGCACCAGCAGGAAAGCTTTCAAGCGCAAAGGCAGCAGCAGCAGCAGCAGCAGCAGCAGCAGCAGCAGCAGCAGCAGCAGCAGCAGCGGCGGCGGCGGGTTTGGTGCGTCTACATCCAGCGCTGTCAAGCAGCGAAGTCACCACGTGCGTCAAGGGGAGGCAGCGCGAGGAAGTGCTGGTGCAAGCGGAGCCGCTCCAGTAGGAACGGCAGCAGGAAAGAGGCCTAGCGGCTCGCTTCGTGCGAGTGGGGGCCCCCAGAAGCAGCCGCCGGGGCAGAGGGGCCCCCCCCCGACGCTGCTGGGGCCCTTAGTGCGACAGCGGGACTGGCAACAAGGGGCCTCCCGCCGGTTGCAGAAGCTCGAGGAGATTTATCACCTAGGGATACGCGAGTTGCAGCCAAAGTTGCAGCTGCAGCAGGAGGCAGATGCGGCGGCAAAAGTCGCCAAAGCAGCAGCAGCACCAGTGGACAGCAGTGCGAGCAGCAACGGCAGCAGCAGCAGCAGTAGCAGTGGCAGTGGCAAGGGCAGTGATGTCATGAAAGGGGCTTCCGAAGCCAATGGATCCCTTTCGCCTGCGGCTTCGGGAGCTGCAGCAGCACGAGACGCCCTTGGCTGTGGGCAGCAACAAGAGCAGCAGCAGCAAAAGGAAGAGGGTGCTGTCAAGTTGCTGCCGGCTGAGCTCAAGTATCCGTCTGCAGCGGCTTTTGCCGCTGCGGTGCATGCGGCATTCAGTAAAATGTACGGGGGGGCCCCGCCGCGTCTGCGCCAGCAGCGGCTCTACGAGTTGCTCGCCAACTTGAAGCGTGAGAACAACAAGGAACTGCGGCAGAAGGTGTTACTCGGTATTATGTCGCTCTCTTCTCTTCTTGCTGCTGACGCAGACGCCTTGGCACCTGCCGAGGTGAGGCGGGAAAGGCGGGAGGAGAGAGAACGGCATTTTCGGCGGGCTGTGCTGCTGACAGATACGCTGGAGCCGCAGCAGCTCCTGAAGAAGACGCACAAAGGGCTTGAGAGTGTCAGCGAGGACGCAGTGCCGCAGCAGCAGCAGACGCAGCAAGCGAAAGTTCGGCTGCCTCCGGTTCGGCAGAGCAGTGGCAGCAGCTCCAGCAGTTCTAGCAGCATGGGCGACAGCAGCAGCGGTAGCGGTGACAGCGGCAGCGACAACAGCGGAAGCAGCAGCAGTGGCATCGATGATACAGACAGAGAGGGAAGGGCTGCGGGCAGCACTAGCAGCAGCGGCGGCAGCAAGACGGCCGCTGCTGCTGCTAGTGCTGCTGCCTTAAATGGCGCTTACAGTGATGCAACAGCACCGACTGCTGCTGCTGCAGAAAGCGTAGACATCAAAAAGGAACTGCATGCGCTGCACCAGCTCTTTGGCAGCGATCCTACTTCGGCCGCTGAGCAGCAGCCGCAGCAGCAGCCGCAGCAGCAAGGAGCCGAAGGCGCAGACACGAAGGAAAAACACCGGGTGCGTTTTGCTGCAGATACAAAGCTGTCTCCGCAGGGAGGGGGTCGACGCAGTAGCAGCAGCAGGAAGCAGCAGCAGCAGCAGAAAGAACAACAGTTCGAGCTCCTTCACCATTTGGTGCCGCAGGGGTTTTCCACGAGGCCCCTGAGTGCCCCTCCGAACGTAGCTGCCTATACACCCGACGAAGCGAAACAAAGGGTGCTGCAGTTGCTGCAGCGTGTGCAGCAGCAGCAGCACCGGCAGCTGGTCAAGCAGTACCAGTCGCTGCAGCAACAACAGCAACAGCAAGACACCGGAGCCGCAGCTGCTGCGCACGCAGTTGCGGCGGACTGCAGTAGCATGAGGAACTCCTTTGCCGAGTTGCTGCAATGCGCCTTCACGCGAGTCAGCACTGAGCTCGCGCGTAGAAAGGGCGAGGCAGCGTAGCTGGTGTTGCTGCTGCTTTGCTGCTGCGCATTAGAACTCCCCTACTGCAGCTTTCGTCCTTGGCGCAGGAAGGGGGCTAGCAGCAGCGCCAGTTCTTCTGCTGTAACTGCATCCCGCCGCGGCAGTTCGAGACATGCCTAACTTGCTGCCGTCAGCATCAAGATGGGGGCCTCTAGCAGCAGCAGCAGCACCTGCAACGGCTGCTGCTGCTGCTGCATCTTGTGCGTAGGCTGCTGGCGCTGCTGCCCATTGCAGGAAATGCATGCCTTTGAGCGTTATAGGCATTTGAGCACCTCCGCACGGCACACATGCGCGTTTTCTTGCGGTTGCTCAGTGAATCTAGGTAGGGGTTTGGATGCGTTAGTGTGCCCACAAGACAGAGGAGCACAATCACTTCCCCAGTCTCGTGGCTTTTGCCATTCACGCCAGTAAAAGCTGTAACTAGCGAACCTCGATCCGGTTCTTGTTGCAGTTGCTATTGGGGAGAGGGAGAGACAGAGAGCGCGAGAGAAGCAGAGAAAACCAGATACCTGAGACTTGTACGTACAGCGCAGGAAACGCAGCGCATAGCTCGTCGCAGCATTGAGAAGAGACGCTGGGCATACTAGTCCCTTTGTTTCCTAGACAGAAGTTGCTATCGCTTTTCTACCGTCTGTGCAGAAGACACAGATGTGTGCTTGCGTTTGTTCTGGCCTGGAAAGCATTCACCTCGCTGGAAGCCTGGTGGCGCTAGGGGTTGCAGAGAACTGGCATTTGCCACACCGTGGCAACCAACACCGTCAAAATCCAAGGCCTGACCACCTATGCTATGTGCCTTGCGCCAAAAGGCTTGAGCAATGAACCTGCAGAGGGCTGCACCTGACAAAAGACACACTTATGACGGATATTGCGTCTTGATGAAGCGGGTGCCTAGCGCACTCTCCACAAGCTGCCTTGAAAGGAGCTACCTTCTGCTAGCTCTTTATCAGGCGCAAGCCTGATGCCTGACACTCCTCTAGGCGAGCTCTAGGAGGTTCACGGGTGATCAAGGGATCTCCGTCGGTGTGCGTCAAAGGCTTTCCACGCAAGCGGGTGTGAGTAGCCTAAGGTATCTCTCCAAGTTGGCCTTTCTCTACCGTAGTCTCTTTTACCTGCCCTTCCAGTGCCTGTGTGTGTATGTGTATGTATGTATATATGTATGTGCGCGTGTGTGTGTGATGCGAAAACGTGTGAACGCACTCCTCTTATTGCTCAACTGTGCTACTCTTTTATCGCTAGCGATGATCAGGGAAGACGCTTCTGTAGAGGATTGTGTACCCCATGAAGGGATCTGTAACGCTCTATCTCAGATATTCGTGGAAGATACTTCTAGATTCTACCAAGGTAATATAATTGGCAATGTCGGATGGCATTTCAAAAGAGCTTCCTCCTTTCGCAGCTCTCCTCTGCTCTCTGCCCAGGCAGTACCAGCACGAAGGGGGAGGGACGGCTAGGGCAAGCACTGGTGCACCCTGCCAAAAGTTCACTGCTAATTGCATGCAGCAGCGCATGGCGCTCACGCCTGCCTTGGGTAATGAGCTGCGCATGCAGCGGGAGAGGGAGACTGCCCAGCGGCAAATCTACCAGTGTTAGGAGCTAACGCTGCTCTGCACTGGCCCCTGTTGCTGCTGCGCCTGGTGGTGTGTCGCCGTGGTTACTCTGCAATAAAATACTCGCGCAGACAAGCCAAATATTTACTTCTTTTCTGAAGTTCAATGACTATTGCTAGTGTGTACGCACATGTCTCAGAGGAGCACGTAGCTGGCCGCGCGGGTGCCCACGCCTTCCTCTTCCCCTGAGGTCGTTACACGGCGCCTTTTCTGGGATTTATGCCATGACTCCTCGTTTTCCCAGGATTGCAACTAAAGAAACAGCCAATTCACAACTAGGCGTGAGGATTCGTAGCTCACAGGGCCGATGGCTATGCAAAAAACTCTGGGGAAGGGGAGTAGAGCGAGCCACTTGGAGGATAGCTGCGCTTGAGAATTCTTGAGCAGCTAAAGAAGTATGGAGTACAGCGGTAACATGCGAAGAGTTACTAAAAGACGCTACTGCGGGTACGACTTTGCGCAGCCGCTTTTGCTGCCTGTACACTAGAGCTGGCTGCTGACGGGGCTGCTGCTGGTCCAGCTGCTGCTCTCCCTGCGCGTAGACAGAAAAGCAATCCCTCCAGTTTTCCCAAATCGAGTCTTTTGCTGCCTTTAGCTGCAAGGAGCAGCAAAGGCGGACGGGGAGATCCAGACAGAGCTCCCCAAGCAGCAGCTTTTCCAGAAACCCTGCAGGAGTTTGCATGCGCACATTCGCTCGCAGCAGAGCGCCGCTGCGGCCTGTGCGAGGCTGCAGCAGCAAAAGACAGGATTTTGTGTGGGCTTGAGAGCAGCGGCGACGGCTCGAGGAGTAACAAGGAGAGAGCAGCAGCAGTTGCTGCAGCTGCAGCAGCAACTGCTGCAGATCCAGCCGGCCCGTGTTTTGGGGCTTATTTCTACGGTGTTGGCTTTTTGAAACAGTAAAAAGGCGCTCGCGTAGCCGCACTGTGAAGGCGAGCAGCTAACATTCCCTGAATTCGTGTGCTCGCATGAGAGTTGCAACAGCACCGCAGTACGAGGAGGCGCTACTGCTGCAGCGCCTGCAGCAGCAGCAGCTGCTTCTTAGCAACTCTCCCATCCGTTTCCACCAATGAGGAAGCAGCAGCAGCAGCAGCGGCGGCGGCAGCAGAAAGGGGGTCCTGCTGCGCCTGATCGATGAGTAGCGCCATGCAAGACAACAGGTCCGCTGCGTTGCAGCAGCAGCATCCTCAGCAGCAGCAGCATCCTCATCAGCAGCAGCGTCCTCAGCAGCAGCATCACTACTTGCAGCAGCCAACGCACTCACATCTTCAGCAGCAGCACAATCGCCATGCACAGCAGCAGCAACACCTGATGCTACGCCAGCAGCTGCAGCAAGACCACGGGCAGAAGACTCCATACAACGTGTTGACAGCAGCAACGGGGGATGCTGTCACCCTAAATACAGCGGCATCTGCAGCTCCAAGTGTATTCCAGCCATCCCTGCCAGCAGGGAGGAGTGCTACAGGCACACTGAAGCAGCACCAGATGCAGCAGCAACACCCTCAACAGCAGCAGCTGTTGCTGCAACAACAGCAGCAGCAAGAGCACATGCAGCAGCAGAAGCAGCAACAGCTGCAACAACACCAGCAATTGCAGCACCCGCAGCAGCAGCAATTGCAGCTGCAACTCCAGCAGCAGAAGCAGCAACAGATGCAGCAACAGATGCAGCAGCAACAGAAGCAGCACCAGTTGCAGCACTCTCAACAACAGCAGCATTTACACTCACCTAACCTTCGTGTGCCTCTTCATCCGTTAGGGCAAATCCGCCTTGCTGTACCCCCAACTTCACCCGTTGCTGGAGAGCTCCCGCCAGATGCTGCTGCTGCAGCAATAACCTCTGCAGCAGCAGCAGCAGCAGCAGCAGCAGCAGCAGCGCCGGCAGCAGCAGCAGCGGGGGGGGGCCCCTTCAGGCCACGTTGGTTGCAGGGGTTTTCCGGTGTATCTACAGCAGTAGCTGAGACACGGCAGGCGTTAGACAAGATTGTGGGTAGAGCCACCCTTGCAGCGGCAGCAGCAGCAGGAAGTAACACGCCAGGTATACCTCCAGTGCCTGCTTCAAAAGCGCACTCGTTGCAGCAGTTGCTAGAGGAGATCAATATGGCTGCTGCAACGGCAGAGCAGCAGCAGCGGCTGTGGCTGCTCCTGCCGCAGAGGCCCCTAGAGGCACAGCGCGAGGAGCAGCAGCAGCTGCAGCAGCTGCTGTCGCTGCGATCTCTTACGCAGAGGCTTTTCGCATCAGCTAGCGGTTCTCTGAATGCCTCAATAGCCTCAGCGGAGGCAGCTGCAGCCCTTACACCTCGTAGACAAGCGTCAGGCAAGCCCCCTCCAGTCCTGCATAACAACACACCCAGCGGAATCCTCTCACACACAACTGACAGCGGTAGAAACAGCAGCAGCCCACTCGCTGCGCAAGGAGCTTCCTGCAGTGGTGGTGCTGCAACCACCACCGACCTTACACCGCCCCCCCTGCTGCCTCCGCATCAGCAACATTCGCAACATTCGCAACATTCGCAACATCAGCAACATCAGCAACATCAGCAACATTCGCAACATCAGCAGCAGAAACAACAGCAACAACAGCAACAACATCAACAACAGCAACAACAACAGCAACAGCAACAACAACAGCAACAACAGCAACAACAGCAACAACAACAACAACAACACCTGTTGAAACATGAGGCTTCCGCAGGAGTTAGGGGGGATGGGGGTGCAAGAACTCAGAAGCATGGCAGTGCTCCCTCTGGCTTAGAAGGCGCACCGAATGCGGGGCAGATTGCGCAGTTATTTGCTGCTCCTGAGGATTTGCCTGGTATTCCAGCTTTGCTGCAGCTCCTGCGCCACATCCTTCCTGCTGCTGAGCGGCAGCACCAGCTGTCTCACGTGCTGCAGCAGCAGGAGAAGCTGCTGCTGCTGCAGCACCAGCAGCAGCATCCGCAGCAGAGGGCGCATGCAGATCTCGATCTCCGAGAAGCGTCGCGCATGTCAGCGAAAGCCACCGAGGCGGAAGGGCCCCCTATAGGCCTCTGGGGGGGCCCCCTTGCAGCCTGTCTCTTTGATGGAAGCCTCAAGGAATCGGGAGCTTCAAACGACGCTTTGTTTCCTGTCGAACCTCAGGCTGTTTCGCTGCCTCCGCAAGAGGGGCCCCCCGCTTCCGGCTGGCTGCATGCATGCTCTTCTGCTCCGCTAGCAGGAACGTCTGAGTTGGAGGGAAGTCAGGCGATGGCGATGGAGGAGGGGCCTCTTTCTTCGCGGCTGCTGCTGTTGCGACTGCGGAGGGAAAGAGCCATTCCACTACGCAATTTCAGGCTGCTCGCGAGGCGACCTTCTGCGATACAGCGGCGACATCTGCTGCAGCAGAAGCATCGCCAATCGATTGCTGCAAGGGACTGGAGGGAGCTCGAGGATCCCGTGCTCTTGCCCCCGCCTTGTCACTTGCTCCCGCAGCATCGGCGGCTTTGTGTCATCTTTCTGGATCTCCACGCTGCTTGCGGTGCAGCCATGGCAGACGCTCTGCAGAGCTACCTCGCTACTGCTGCTGCCACTGCCACTACTCCTGCTGCTACTACTGCTGCCACTACTGCTGCTGCTACTGCTGCTGGAGCCGAGGGCCCTTCCCGTCCAGTGGGATCTCGCTGCAGCAGCAGCGAGGCGACACACAGAGTTTCCAGGGGAACAGAAGCTGCAGCATCCACAGGAGGTGCTGCACGCTTGGCATTCGCCGAGAGACTCGGGGGCAGCATGGTCGGCAGCTGCAGCAGCGAGACTTCGCTGCCTGCAGCAGAAGCCGTGGTGTGGGATATCTGCGATACTGGCACTGCCCTAGAGGGTCTGGCGGCTAGCTGGCTAGAGGATTGCAACATTCCCTTCAGTGTGCATCTCCCTACGCTCCGCCACGCACAGCCAGAAGAGCTCCCAAGTGCGCGGCTTTCCTCCGGACCGTCCACTCCCGACTGCAGAAGCAGCGGCAGTCGCAGTGTTGCCTCGACTCCAGCCTTTCCAAGGGTTCCCCAGCTGCACACCCTCGAGGTGCTGCAGCTGCTCGTGACAGACTTGAGGCAGCAGCTCTCTGCAGCGCAGCAGCGGGAAGCTGACTTTACGCTGCTCCTCCAGCTGCTGCAGCGGACCGAGAAACAACGGGGTGCTCCTTCAGGGCAGAAGGAGCACCATCACCTGCAACGAGTAACGGGAGTGCCTGAGGGATTGTCGTGCAGCAGTATTAGCAGCAGCAGTACGAGCAGCAGCAGCAGCAGCAGCAGTATTAGCAGCAATAGTATTAGCAGCAGTGCTGTGAGTACTTTGGGAGTCGCACGCAACGCAGCAGGGGCAGCAGCAGAAACTGCGAACGCGGCAGCGAATCCGCTTGCTGGCAAATTGAAGACCAGAGAGGGCAGAGAATTGCAGGAGCAGCACGAGCGCGTGCAGCAGCGGCAAGATTTGCGGCAGCAACTGCACTGCGTCCTGGAGGTAGCAGCAAGCGACTCGAGCAGCGGCTGGCGCATGCAGGATCGGCTGCAGTGGTGCCTCGACGCCAGCGATGCAGAGGTGCATGCGCAGGTGCAGCAGCTCGCTGCCGAGTTGCTGCTGCCCCCTAGGCTTTCTGCTGCTTATTTTTCTGCCCTTTTGCAGCAGATCGGCAGCAAACGACAAGCGCTAGTTCTGGAGTATCGACAGCGCCTGAGGGAAGCCCATGAGGCCTGGGGACTGGCGCCCCCTTTTTGCTGCAGAGACTCTGCAGCAGCATCAGAAAGCGTCGCCGCAGTTGCTGCCTCTGACAGCAACAGCAGCAGCTCTGTGGCAGCAGAATGCGAGCAGCAGACGGCGCAAGGCGCTGCTGCTGAAGCTGTTGGTGCTGCACTCGGCTCGGCGCCTGCAGCAGTTAGCGCCAGTGGGTGTGGTTCTGTTTCGAGCCTTTCGAGCAGCAGCAACAGCAGCAGCAGCAGCAGCAGCAATAGCAGCAGCAGCAGCAGCAGCAGCAGCAGCAGTAGCGCAGCCTTGGTACGTCTGCAACAAATGGAGCAACTTCAAATCCAGCGCAAGCCGCGAAAAGCCTTCAGCGGAGTGGTTCGCGGGGTGCTGGACTGCCCAAGACCTCAAAAAGGTCTTTTTGTCTATTGGTGAGGAAGCTTACAAGTCGATTCGCTGAGTGTTTGTGTGTAGCAGCAAGGTTCTGCGGGAAGGTGGGGTGGTGCCTCCGCGTGTCGTTTGCGGGTGCTGTGCGGGGGGCTGTCTGGACGGCACGGAGACACTGGCTAGCCAGGCAGCCGTCTGCCAGCGGGATGCGTGTGCTGTGTGTCTGCTGCTCCTCTGCAGTCCGAAGGGGGGAAGTTCCTTACTCTCTCTGTGGACGGAGAATGTGCGGCGGGTAGAGCGAACTTGCCGGAGGCGCCCGCGGCCGCTGCTGCTGCGAGACAGCAGCAGCAGCAGCAGCAGCAGCAGCAGCAGCAGCAGCAGCAGCAGCAGCAGCAGCAGCAGTGACAACGAGGAGCAAGCGGGTGCAGACCGCCATGTCGGCCTTAGCCGAGTCACTTCGAGGCACCGCCTCTGCTGCAGCCCAAGCGGCAGTGGGCGTATTTTAGCGCGACTGGACCTGGAGTCGTCTCGGTGTATTGCGGCTGCATGCAGTGCTGCTGCGATCAAGCAGCGACTCGCCGCTGCTGAGGCAGTTTCCCGCTGGGCGTGGACAGCAGGCAGCAGCGGCGCGAGAGGAGCGCGAGTAGGGGCAGGGGGGGCAGCAGCAGCACAAGCAGCGCTTGGCTGCGTTGTCAGAGTGCCTTCTTGCCTTGAGGAGGCTGCTGTTGGGGACGCAGTATCGGACGGACCAGAGCACTGCAGCATCCCGCTTCAACCGCAGCAGCCGTGGGGCCCCACACTTACTTGGGTAGCAGACACACAGCAGTGGTCTCGGCGGCTACCTCCTGTCAAGCGAAAACGCCGCTAGTTGGACGTAGTTGTAGCTGCTGCTGGTGCTGCTGCTGCACTCCCCTACCCTTGTCTCACTGGAGGGGGCTTAAAATGGGGCCCCCCTCAGACCCCACTTTTTGATTAAGCACACGTTTAGTTAGCGTCGGAGGGAGGAGCCTTTTCGTGCGCCATACTTGAGATAGCTCAGCCCAGCATGCTTCCGTAGAGGCCACTTCTCCCCCCTCCCTTTCTTACGCTTCCCCCTCCCTCCGTCCCGCCGCCTCCCCCTACGTACGTTTTGCGTCTGCCCTCCTTGGCGGCAGCAGTGCAGACTGCTGCACGCGGCCCTTTTCGTGGGAAAGAGATGCAGTGGCTAGCCGTCGGTAGAGCTCGCAGATAGTGTTACAGGGGGCACCGAGGCTTTAGGCTTCTAAGGGCATGCGGTGCAACAGCCCCACCCGTTCCTTGCCGCGCACCACACGGCCAAAACAGCTCTCTACATGCCCTGCGTGCCACAAGGTGTGCGTCTGCCACACGCCTCTGCAGCTGCCTCGGATTGAAGGCAGCCTCTCCTCAATAACCCCTCCTAGTGGCGTAGTGGTGTCTCTAGAGCACGTGCTCTCTCTCAGTGAGGCCTCTAGTTGCGGCGCTGTACAAGACAACGGGCTTGAACGAGGAGCCGAAGCGTTCTTGTGTGCAGGCCTTAGAGAAAGAGAGAGGGGCCCACCCTCACACCTTCACGTGCGCTTTTAGAGTGGCGCTGTCTCGAGCGCAGTAAACGAGGGGAGGGGATACGACGTTGGACCGACAGGAGTCTGAGGCGCTTGAAGTGTTGGAAGTGCAACCCTTCTACATGTGCAGCCAGCCAGCCAGCCACAGACACGCACACACGCGGCTCCCTTTACCCGTGCCTGCTCGTTTAAGGGGTGCCTGGTTAATCGTGCCCTTGAAAGGCTCAAAATGGATGTACGTGGAGAGCGCGAGGAAGGCCGTTTCGGCAGCAGCAGCAGCGCCACGAAGGCACTGAGGAGGATGGGGGAACGAGGGAACCCCAACAATAGGACGAAGAAGCCGAGCCTTCACTTGAAGGTCAAGAGCCTGAGAATGCTGCAGCCGACGCTGCAGCCGCTGCCGTGGAATTCCCCCCTAGCGCTGTCGTGCTGCCGTTTCTACTGCCTGTGCTGTCTGTGTGTGCCCCGCCGCCAGCGCTCTGTGGCACCGCTGCAGCGGGGGGCAGTGTCATCCTGTTGCTGCTGCTGCTGGTCAAGGCTTGCTGCTGCAGTTGGAGCACCCGCATGCTGACAGGCAGCCGCCGCTGCCGCTGCTGCTGCCACGCAATCACGAGATGCATGTAGTGGGGTAGGAGCAGCAGCAGCAGCTGCAAGACTGCGAAGTTCACGACCAGCAGCCCAAGGACCACGTTGCTGCAGCGGCAGACAGCACCAGAGGAGAGCGAATTGGAAAGACGGAAGGCGTGTCTGGCAGGCAAGACGCGCATCAGCAGCAACCTTCCTTCTGGAGGAGACTCTCAGAAGGCTCTTCACACGGAGAGGTGCCTGCCCCCCAGACAGGGAGAAGCGAGATTTGCAGTCACAGGGGGGAGGAAGGAGAGGGGGAAGCGGAGCGGGCTAGAATGCGTGTACAGACAGCTAGTAGCCAGCCGGATCGCCCCCAGACCGCTAGTCAGCAACAGAGCTGGCTAGCGAAAACAGCAAGGCTACATCGCAGGTCGTACGTGGCAACGCTTAGGGCAGGAGCTTCCTTAGGGTTGATGGTGAGTGCTGCGAGGACGAGAATTCCCATGAACTCCACGAAGCGCAAAACGAGCAGCATAAAGCAGACGCGGCGACGGCGAGGCCTGATAAGGAGGCACACAGAGAGGAGTCAACACTGCGTGTAATGCTGGTGCGAAGGGAGGGGGGGAAGGGAGGAGGGTCTGGATGTGCGTTGGCGCAAGGAAATAAGAGAAAACGGAGGGACGAATCGATCGGTTGGACCTCATTGATGCCGCGCACGCCAGACTTCTCCTCTTTGCATGAAAGAGGCTCAAAAAGAACCTCGTTAGCTCGCAAGCGCGTGTGTGTATATGTGTGTGTGCGTATGTACATGTATATATATATATATATATGTGTGTGTCGCTCTTAATGAGCCAAATGTGGCCCTTCCGGCTTTTGTATGAGGAGCTCCCTTGGCGTGAAACACAGGGGAGGGTGCTCTAACGTGTTTTCTGTTGGTGAAGAATTCCGAAGTGTTGCGGCTTTTCCGCTCACATGCTTTCATCCGACGCAAGGAGGACGGGAAGGGGAGACACGGCGGCAGCGAAGAGGCCCTTCAGGAAGGAGGGTAAGAAGCTCATGGAGATCCCCAGGAACACAATAATGTAAAGCGTCTAAGAAAAGAAAAAGGAGCAGCAGCAGCAGTTGCGACAAAAGCAGCATTATCGGGTACAGGGCGCTGTTAACGCTGCCTATGAGACAAGAGGGGAATCCCCCGCTTTTCTTTCTTTCTTTTTGTCTCTGTCTGTCTGTCTGTCTCTCTGTCTCTCTGTCTGTCTGTCTGTCTCTCTCTCTTTTTCACTCGCTCTAAGAAGAACTAAGAGTCGGCTTCAATATTGAGAAAGCCAGGAGGGGAGACAGAGCAAGACAGAAAAACGGCGGCACAAAAAAGGGGCGACATCGAGGCAGCATGCTAACTTGTAAGAAGAAAATAGTGAGGAAGTTGTACGGGGCGAAGACACTGTCGCTGACGATTCCTAAAGTGAGCATCCGGATTGATGTATCCAACGCGTGGAAGAGTAACAGCAGACCTGCAGCATGCGTAGAGCAGCAGGGGGTGCGGCTGGCGTGAGTAGATTGGCGAATGTTGAGAAGGCTTTTTTGCGGCATGTCTATGCTGAGCTGCAGAAGACCGCATGTCGCGATTAGCCTAGTGCCTGTGGGGTGAATCTGCCTCCCTGATACGAAAACTTCTTACCGCAAACTGCAGCTGCCCTCGGATGGCTCTGGCAGAGGACGGCAAAGCCTCCAGCGGCTTGTGCTGCCTTAAGGACCGTTTTCTTTGCCACGAGCACGGCTACAGAGCAGCAGCAGCAGCAGAAGCAGCAGCAGCAGCTAACCAGCAGCAGCTTATGAGCAGCAGGGCCGCTCCAGCTGCTCGTGTTGCTGCTGTCTCCCAGAACTGAAAAAGCGTCTGCTGCTCGCCGCAGAGAAGATCCTCCGTCTTCTGCAGGCACCGCACAAAGACCCCCTCGCCTCTCCGCATGCAACAGCAGCAGCTACATCGGAGGCAAAGTGCGCGAAGCTGAGTGACTGCGAGAGGAGCAGCGAATGCCACAGCGGCGGCAAGACCGCCATCGACACGCTGCTGAGACGCGTCAGCGCCGTGCAACACCATCCAACCCCAGAGACATGCCTCCCGAGACAGCGCAGCAAGCGCAGCAGCCTAAACGCCCCCTGCACAAAGAAGAGCGTCTGCAGAAGAAAGAGTCGTAATTCCAGCAACCGATCCCCTGCGCCTACCATGGATAAACTGAGTGCCTCCGCCAAAGAGGAGCATATTCGAATACGCATATAGCAGAGGGAGATACGTGAGGGGCAGTGATGCGGCCTCTATGTCTTCCAGCCGAGCAGCGCTGCTGCTGCTGCTGCTGCTGCTGCCCCCATCGGCAGCACAAGGCTTTGACTGCAGCAGCAAGAGCAGCACACAGAGAGCGAGCGGCGCGTGGACAGGCGCGCATGCACGAAGCTACGAACGAAAACAAGGGGTGCAGGCAGTTGCCTCGCAGGAAACCGCAACTTCTTGCAACTTAAAACTAGGGTGTGGCATGGAGTGCAGCGCCTCAGGTAGAAGAGGGGGTACTTGCTGCCATGTAGTGTAAAAGGACGATGCCATGTCTGCTACCCCCAATTCCTTTGGTACCACACCTCCAGAAAGAGGCTTAGCCCAAGAAGCGCAGCGGCGGCTTTCGCTGGCTGCCTTTCGGCGAGGTAAAGGATGGAGTGATGAAGCGATGAGAACGTCTCTATGGAGACTACCAACAGAGAGGTTCCCGCGTACCCCCTGAGGCGGTCGAAGACACACAGAGAGAGTAAAAATGTGCAGAGGCAGCCGCATGCACGTGGAGGGCCAGACAAGCGATGAAGAAAGGTGGGCATGCAGCAGCAGCGCTTTTGCGCGCATTGCATCTAAGCGCATGCTGCGAAAGAGCAGAACGCGCAAGGTGTGGAGTGCCCGACAGAGGCCCTTTGAGAGCGTGCAGCTCGCGAAAAAAGCGGATGCAGATTGAGGGAGCGAAAGCGAAAGGGAGAAAGAAAGAGACCGCTGTGGAGGAGAGGCGAAGCCTGGCAGTGGCCTCCCCCAATCTGCGTGAAAAGGGAGCTCTATGCGTCGCAGCTCTGACAGCAAGGCTGGCAGCAGGAGCGATCAGGCAGGGAGGGGTTAAGCTCGTGAGGGCATACGCCTTGAAGAGCAGAAAGGCATTTGTTGAATGCATCAAAACGTTCAGCGCATGCGTTGCCAAAGAGCACCACACCCGCCACTGCAGCCAGTAGTTCGCCCTGGCTGCCGCTGCCGCTGTCGCTGCAGGGCGGCGCACGCTGAGTTGGTGCTGCCGTTGCCACTGCTGCCGCTGCTGCAGGAGTAGGTGCTGCTGCTGCAACAGCCTCGGCCCAAGCAAAGGCACATGCCCTTCCGAGTGGCTGCCCCCCTCTAAGTCTCCCGCCAGCAGCAGGTGTTGAGACTGCGCCTGTTGCGACTGAGATTCGTCTTCTGGGAGTACTGGGAGGTGCTGTTGCGCCTGGTGGTGGTCTTGGTGCTGCGGATCCGCAGTCGCCTGTAGCCGCTGCCCGTCCATCCCCCCTGGTTGGAAATGGGCCGGAGGAGTGCCTGACGATAGGCGCACTTCTGCTGTTGCTGCTGCTGTGCATGCGAATTTGCGCCCGTTTTCTGCGGCTCGAGGCGTGTGCGGCAGGGGCGGCCCTAGGCAAAATAGCACTCGCGCCTGCAAGGCGGCGGCAATGAGCGCTGATCTGGCCTGTG